GAGAGAGAGAGAGAGAGAGAGAGAGAGAGAGAGAGAAAAGTAGAGGGAGGCGGTTACTGGAAATCTCAGGTATAATTGAAAGTAAGAGCTTTAGATCTGTGTAGAACTTCTCAATGCATCTGCTACACAAAATTTACTTTTGACCTTTTCCTTTCAAAACCTGGTTTAACAATTTCTCTGACCACACCGCCACCATCACTCCTCGCCCCACGCGTTTTCCCAATTTTTCTCTCATCCTTCTCCCTTTTTCCTTTTGATTTCAGAATTGTATATATATATATATACAGCATTTTCATAGAGCATATCAATTCTGCCCAACTCTGACAGAACGCCCTTTTTTCATTCACAGCAGTTTGGAGATAAAGAGGCTTTTGGTCAGCGTAACTTTAAAAATAACGTTCGTCAGACATTTGAATTTTAATTTATTCAAAAACTAGTCTCAGGGTCACTTTGATTTTTTTTCACACAAGTAGGGTAACTGACAACTGACCAGGCTCTCGATTTAGCAAATAAAGAAAAAAATTGGCACCTATTATGAAAAAATGCGTTTTGTCAGAGTAGGGCAGAATTGTAGTTGAGTACAAAATACAGATAAAAATACGTAAACATATGCTAATTTTCTAGACAGCACAATGTTCGCTTTGTGTGTTGCGTTTCAACATAATAAATCAACAGGTCAGCATGTTTTATTGTTACAAATACCGGTTACATGGCTCATCGTAAACAGAAGCTTATGTTGCTGACACCAGGGATTTTTTTAACGGATGAATTCCACAGATGGTGTTAGATGGTGTTGATATCTAAAAAGAGTTTCGTTTCTTTTCCTCTAATGACTTAGAAGGAAAGTCAAAGTGACGTAAACATTCAAAACATAAACGATTCTGCAAGCAACAGTTAACCAAGGCTCTGGTCAATTCGTTTAATTATGCCATGAAATTCGTTTGCTTTCAAAGGTTTCGGAAAATACAGGAAGCAACAATAGAATAATACGCTGACTGTCGGATTGTGCAAAAGTCGACCTTTTTTGGGAGAAAAACACACCAAGATTACACTATGCTTGTCATGGAGCTAATTTTAGGACCATTATTCTCGCTTTAGTAGCACCATTTGGCAACGTATGTTTTTTACTAGCAAAAACCTTTATTAAAGTTGCACACTACATAAAATGACAAACCTGGCTTTAAACATAAATATGTGAGAATGCGTCAATAAGCTGTTAGCGTTAAATGTGTCACAGGCGGAAATGTGTCTCGGTTTCCAGGAAATAGGAATCACTTCCCGTGGAATGCCCGGATGTGTACAAGCAACACGTCTTTTTTAGTTATGTAAACCCTCGAGGGTTATAACAGAAATTGGTCGGTAGAAGAAGACCAATAATCTCAGAAAAGCTGCACCCTAGACAGATATTTTTTATGGCAGGTGTTTAGAACACTCTTTACTTCCACTTCACGTCGGAATTATTTTTGTTGCAATTAGTGACCGGTTATTTTGTCTGGACAGTGGACAACTAGGGCCACGCACACTGTATGGCAACCTGGTAGGATTATAACGCTTTAGTTGCGTAAGTCTAATCTGGAAAACTAAACAATGCACCATTTATATATCATCAGGAAGTTAATCATAAAAAAACAACTTACACAACATCATTTTCTTTTTATATCTCTTCACTATTTAAAATCAAATTTCATAAACATCGGTAACACCATTCATTCACCAAACCCAACAACCAGAAAAAAAATGACTGGTCAAAATAAAGGCCAGAACAAATTATTAATTAACGAAATAAAAAAACAAGATTTTAAGGTAGATTTGGATAGATACATTTTTCACAAATTATGTCGTTGCATGTTCTGAGCTAAACACAGTCACACACACACACACACACACACACAAATATACACACGCACACACACGCACTCATACACACACAAACACACACACAGACACACACACACACACACACACACACACACACACACACACACACACACACACGCAATGCTCTTTGGCGTAGAGTGCTCAAAAACAGAAAATTAAAAAAATGAGCAACAACCGCTAGCCAAATTTATTATCAATACAGGGTCATCGCTGGAAAATTTAACCGCCATTTCTGTGTCTATAGCGCATAAAACATTTACTATGTCACGCCAAAGTTTTTAACTAAACGTAGTAATGTGATGTTCAGCAGTGGTAATCTGAGTTATAAATCGCGCTTTTTTTATATTCCAAGCGATGACGTAGCAAGTTTGGCGATACATTATAATTGATCAGAGGCACATCTCAGTCGGCACATATGGGGACTAAGCCCACAGTCTACTTCTTCTTCTTCTTCTTCTTCTTCTATCCCGTGGTTGGGGCAACCGTGGGGGCACCACTGCATCTGAAAACCAGCTCTCGCCATCTATTTTTGTCCTCTGCTTTCCTCAGATTGTCACCCATCGTCTTTCCTGTCCACTCTGTAATGTTGTCCTCCCATCTCCTTCCCCTATTTCTCTTTTCTTGTTCGGTTCCTTGCAGGATTGTTTTGGCAAGTCCACAGTGGGCAGTCTAAAAATAAACGCAATCTCAGACTGTACACTATTCAATGCCCATAAAATTGTGAGCCCCGGAGATAGCCAGCGAAGTGCTCAAATGAATTGCGATTGCTTTATTGTCTTGCCACTATTTTAGGTTTTGCCT